CACAATATAACGTTATATTAATGTTAATTATTTATGAAAGGGTACTTACATGTTTTTTCTTAATGTTCTAAACATTTTGGGGCCCCTGCTAGTCATGGGCCCTTAGAATCGTCCTAACCTTTCACCCCCTTACGGCGCCCCTGCATGTCGCAAGCAGTGGGGGGGACAGTGGCCGGGTCACATGTCTCTCCATATAAACGTGCTGGAATTACTCTCCGTATGGAAAGTAATCCAACACTTCGCCCCGTTGCTGTACAATCAACATGTGTTGATTCGAACAGACAACAAAGCAGCGGCGGCCTACATAAATCGCCAGGGAGGTGTACGATCAGCGCAGCTGCTGAACACACCAGAGCATCCTACACAGCCAAGTGGACGATGTTCCGTTTGGTGTGTAGGGAAAAGCCTGGACCCCGTTACGTGCCCCCTGCCTCTCGTGCTGTTGTTCCTCCAGCTATTGCTGGACAGGAATTTGGCTTATAGCACGATCAAAACATATGCTGCTGCCAGACTCAGACCTGTGTCACGCGCTTTGGCGCCTCAATGGGTTTTGGCTTTAGTGTTACGCGCACTGAGTAAAGCTCCATTTGAACCTTTAGATCAGGTTCCCCTGAAGTTTTTGTCAGCCAAAGTAGCTCTGCTCTTGGCTCTGACATCAGCTAAAAGGGTGAATGATTTGTCTGCTCTCTCTGTGGCTCCGTCATGTCTCCGGATCCAAGGAGATGGCAGCTCAGCTGTTTTGCGCCCTAACCCGGCTTTTATGCCAAAGGTCATCACAAGCTCTTTTAGGTCAAGAGTGATCACCTTGGATGGCTTCTTTCCTCCTCCTCACACATCAGAGGAAGAAGCCACATCTCTGCTTTACCCAGTTCCCAGTTTGTGCATTACAGAGAGCGCTCAATAGGGCAGCCTCTATCTGCACAGCGCCTGTCACACTGGCTGTGTGAGGCTGTGTCACAGGCGTATGTCTCCTCTGGGGTGGATCCCCCGGACAACATCAAAGCGCACATCACCAGAGGAATTTCAACCTATACGGCTTTGCACGGAGGAATGACAGTGGAAGACATTTGCACTGCTGCATCTTGGTCTTCCCCCTGTTCTGTAAATCACCGTACGCCGCCTTCACTTCATCCAAAAAGGCTATAAACTTGATTGAGAGACCGGTTCCCTCCTCGAATGAGATTAGTAGTCTTGGTAACTAAATCCATGACATGGCTGAAGTTCATTGATTTGGCACACAGAGCCTCCTGCAATATCAAAATGAAATTGGATTTAGCTTTATTAACGTATGCACAGTCATGCATGACTTGTTTTACCTTTTGTTCGACATGATTTTGTATGTCAAATATTCTTCGAGTCACTGTCCGACGGGACAAATTGACGGTTTCAACGTTTAGTAGCCATGTTGTAATCTCCGAATGCTTTAGCCATCTGGACTGCACACCTCTTCACCTCTTCACCATTTCGCCGTCCGACAGGGGCTTCTTAGCTTTAGCAAGCTCAAAGGAAATGGCATAAGACGCCCTGAGAGACGATTCCTGTGTAATCGTGGCTCTGGTAAAAAAAAGTCTGCTGCTGGCATATTTTCCCTTTTTAGGTAATTGACGACGGCGGCTCTGGCAGCTCCTGTGTACTTGTCATATTTGTCTTTGTGGGTGCTGTTGTAGTGGCGACTTAAATTGTAATCCTTCATTGCCGATTTAGTTTCAAGACACACCAAACACATAAGTTTGCCTTTGAATCCTGTAAACAGATAATCTGTTTGCCATTTTGGTTGAAAGACACAGTTTTCTTGGTACAGTTTTCTTTTTTGGGCGCTCGTGTTTCTTTTCCTCCCAGAAGAGGAAGGCCGCGAGGTAAACAGAAGAAGACAATCTACAATTGGCTGCATGCCCCCTGAATTTGGGGGGAGCGCCTTCTAGCGGTGAATATTATGAATTACAAGGTTCAAATGATTTGCTTGTTTACAACTGTGAAACCAATATATTTTTGTAAATTGACTCGCGTGCCACACAAAGTGAGGGGGGTGGCCGCGTGCCGCCAGTTGCCCATCCCTGGTGTAGACTGTGAGAGGGGACATAGTAACACATGCAACACATTTCTCCCAGCAACCATAACCAGCTAACCAGACCAGCTGATCTGGCCTTTTTGTGTGTGTATTAAAATATAGCCCATAGTACAGCTGTGTTTTCCCTAGAAAGGGCTCTTTGTCTCATCTCTACATTACTTGAAACCTGTTTAAAGATCATGTGACATTTTAATAGCTGCACTCATAAAATGTTTTGGTGAAAAACTGAGCAGATGTTTAGCTCTGGGTAAGGATAGCCCTGCACTGAAAGGTTCAAATTATTTATATTCAGCAAAGGCTGATATTCAGGGAATAAAGGAAAGATATCTGCCGGCTGTGATTGGTTAATCCTCGTCACATGACAACAGTGTGCACGGCGACCATTGTGTCCCTGTGAAGTGTGTAATGTCTCTGTGTGTTTCCCTCTGCCTCCCTGTGTTGTGTGTGTGTGTGTGCTCTAGTTGGAGAGTCTGAACCAAAGTGAGTTAGCATCGCGGCTAACACTCAACTGTCAGAACTCTTATGTGGAGCCGCACAAAATAAAAGAGGTCGCTGTGACCATCATAGATGTAAGTTTTGAACGTGTCTCACTCTTACACTGTCCATTCGTGCATATTTCTACTGCAATAACCTAAAAGCGTGTCTCTGAATGTCGAGGTGTTTGATCAGAGCGCTCTGTCACTGGAGGCCAAGGAGGAGATGTATAAACTGTACCCTAATGCGAGGAGAGCTCACCTGAAAACAGGAGGGAACTTCCCCTACCTGTGCAGGAGCGCCGAGGTCAACCTCTACATACAGGTACGCCCTGCTCTGTAATCCTCCGTCATCCACTGCTCTGCCATCCACTGCAGGGTTCTTTACACTATAATGACCAGCTCGCTGCACATTAGCCTGCTTACTACACAGCTACTTACTAAATAAATCAGTAATTTCACACAACTCATTGATTTAAACATGATCATATTGCTTCCCCTAAGACAAAATAGTCCATTGTGCATCAACGGTTAAACTGCGGCGACAGCAAAGTGACTTAAAATGAGGGCAGCACTGATCAAGTTTTTCTTTAACTGTCCAAGTCTGTTCAGTTTATTTTCCATTAACCAGTCTTTAAACACCGCCGAGCCCATACCGTGTTCCTATTAGTGTTTACTTCCTGTCTGTCTCCTTCTGCTGTTCCCTTCAGTGTTACTTCCTGTCTGTCTTCTCTTGGTTTCTCTGTCCTCCAGCTCAAGCGTCCTTAGCAATGGTCTGCTATAGATAAGTAGCAGACAGCTGAAATTTCAAATTGACCTAACAGAATCTAGTAATAATCTAAGAAGTGGTGGAACTGGTGGTGTGCAGTCCTCAGGTGGACTGACTGATATTTTTGGTCGCATGATCGGATGGTGGTGATCCAATCATAGGAGTCATAGGGTTACATCCAACATTTACAACCACACACGCGTACCTGCAGACACAGTGGTTGTCTGCTGTGCCGTTTGTTTTTGATTGATTTGTCTTTAGTTTATTTTGTATGACGCTGCTTGTTTGTTTGCACAGATCCACTTACGTCAGTTTCACGGGACGAGGTACGCCGCCATCAGTCCGTCTATGGTGAGCGCAGAGGAGCTGCAGGTGCAGGAGAGCCAGCTTTCTCAGCATGAGGACGACGACCAATCAGAGGATTCCTGCCTGCAAGCTGACCAATGAGAGGAAAGGATGTTTCCTCTCCATCCTTTCATAGGACGTTCTCCACTTTTCTATGGAGCGAGTCAACTGAGAATATTTTTATTTAACAGATGCAGCAATATTTTGATAATGAATTGTATATAAATGATACTCTGCCGCTTTGCTTTAAAAACCTACAATAATTTGCCTTACGTGGAATGAAAATGATAATTGTTGCACTCATAAACTGCCTGAACTGTTAATGTCTGTGTAAAATAAACACTGGGTACCAGCCAGCGGTGAACTGGTCCCCTGTGAGCAGAGATGGACAGCGTGCTGATGGACTGAGTTTCCACGGTGTGAGCAGCAGGAGTGTGTTCAACTGCCAAGGCTTCAGCCACTGAAACATGATGGTCACTGGATGATTTTGAAATGTGAAGCTTCAGAAAGATGCACAATGTTTATTCAAATCTGAACTACAGACATGTTACACTCTTTCTCTGCTCCTGAACACTTGAAAAAAAATAAAATGATGTGCTCTGCATTTTATAAGAGATCATGTACACATCCTCTACACACCATCAAACATGTTCTCTCCTTTTGGTGACTTTCTAACAAGTGGATGTTCATTTGGTTGTCGATCGTGGAAGAATTTTAGAATGTGTTGTAAACTTCCCTCCAGTGTAGCAATCTGTCCAGCGTCTCCTCAGCCCTGAACACACTTCATTCAGACTGTTTAGTTTACCTTTATGTAATAAAATATGATCATGCCATGTGACGAAGAACCATCCACACGCAAAACAATGTGCTTTATATATATAACATATATATATAGACATATATATACACATATATATATATATACATATACATATATATATATATATATATACATACATATACACATATATACACATATACATATATACATATATATAACGTTTGTATGTATATATATATATATATATATACATACAAACGTTTGCATTTGGTAAGTGTTTATGTAGTTTTGAGTGCAGTTCTTCATTTAGCAGGAGAGATTAGGTGTTTTGCACTTTGGGTTTTGTGAATTGTGTTTAGTGTTCTGAGAAACTGAGCAATTAAAAAAAAAGAAAGTGTGTTAGCAATCGAGAAAAACTGTAAAGAAACAATGGGGACTATTCTGTTTTAATGTAGTTTTACCATTGTAACTGCTGTGCTGTGCAGACATAGCCTACTGATAAAATAGGGCTTCTATAATTACCTTAAAGGTGGGGTAGGTAAGTTTGAGAAACCGGCTCGAGATACACTTTTTGTCTATGGAATGCTCTTAACATCCCGATAGCAATGAATATCTTAAGTGCTTTGACAAAAAATCCATACAAAAATGTCATCTGTGGAAGCCGTAGTACTGTAAAAAGCTTGGCTTAAATAACTGGATGGCCTACCTGCAGAGGCGCGGGAAGGTATTTTGAGTGGGGGTGCTGAGGTGCTGGACTCCAGTGAACACTATTACGGGCACTATAGAGCACGCACAAAAAAACTCCCAACACGCAAACACACAGTAAACCCGCGACTGTTACAATGAAGGCTCGATAATCAGCTCACGGCATATAGGCAGGGGTAAAGTGCTATTTTTTACGAGTGGGGAGCGGACCTCACCTCCTCTAGGGGGGTCGGGGGGGATGCTCCCCCGGGAAGATTTTTTTTAAATATTGAAGTTAAAAGCATCAATCTGGTGCACTTTGAGAGCAACATTAAGAGATCTATGGATACATCTCTCAACACCCAGATGAAACACAACTGTAAGCAGATGTTCTTTTTCTTTATGGATATTTTACAAATCACTCCCCTTTCAAACTGTATTCTTGTTTTACTGCCATATAGTATTTCATAAATGTATTTCCTTTATTCTCTTATTTTTTTTATAACTATAATGATCATATGAAGGTGTGCCGCGGAAAT